TGCTTGATGTCGCGTCGTTTGATTGGCTTATTATCTATTAGGTGGAAGTGTAGTGGGGGTGAGCCGGCGACATCGGTTCTCATACTGGCGATCTCTTATCACCCTTCTAACCTCTCTGTGTTCTGTGAACGCAACAATAGCAAAAGATAGCGTTATTTTGCTATGATATTCTGTAAGGTGAAAGTTTCTTGAACTGACGGGCGCTCCAATTCTGCCCCTCAGAATTTTTTACCACTTCACCTGCACTGTATACATTTACAAAAAGTACAATGCCTAAACGTTGTGACCCTTTCAAGGGGCCGGGCGTAACAAGCGTTGATATGTTCGCGTACAACCCTCGACCTCGACGTAATATTATGTTGAGAGTTCGCAGTGAATGCCTTTCCTGAAATATCTTGAGTTGGGATATTCCAAACCTCTCGCTGTTTGACCTTGCACAAGTAGATTCTGAGGGGTGTTAAAATATTCGGAAGTGTTAATGTTAATAGCGCGAATAATTTACAGTGTATTTTCAAAGCTTAATAAATTTTATTTCGTTATTTCAGAGCGTGTTTCCTTTTCATTCTATGAAACATGTGGTGAATGAAAACATTTTTTTAAACCCATCATCATCATAAGCCTATTAATGTCCCCACTGCTGGGCCACAAACCTTCCCTATGGATGGAATAGGAAAATTGGGCCATGACCCACCACACGGGCCCAGTGCGGATTGGCAGGTGCTAACGACTGCAGATGCAGCCGGGACCAACAGCTTAACGTGCCTTCCGAAGCATGGAAGTGCCCGTGATAATAAATTTTTCGTCACCCATCCAATGACCGACCACTGCGAAAGTTGCTTAATTTCAATGATTGCAGCCGAACGCGTTAACCTCCTGCACCATCGAGCTCCTCAAACCCATACCTTATGTTAATGCTTAACTTCGAGTACCTCTCAACCGAACCAGAAATCTCGTCCTTCAGGGTTTCACAAAGTTTGGGACTATGGTTTAGCTGATTGAGATGGATTGCGTGAATTTTTAGCTTCGTAACCTTGGAAGCAGATTTGCTTCTCATCAGATGACTCTAACACTACCGAGGGGCCTGTCGCCGATGTGATTATACAGGCTACGAAATATTTCATTGCAAATTCTGTGGTCCCACTGGCGGGTGAACTCAGCCCTGGTTTCGCAGACCTATACCCAAGGCTTCTAAGGTTAAGAGGGATGCTTACACATACTGGGCTTCCGTTGTGGCAATTAAGGCCAATAATTCATCTGACTTGAAGAAGCGTTATGCCGCTGTTCATGCACATTTAGAAAACGTCTTTCTAGAGCCACTCTCACTCTTTACACTGATCTACCAAATTTCCACTGTGAGAAAATGAAATGAAATGAAATGAAATATATTTTATTGGAACAAAAACAGTGAATACAATAAATGTGTACGATAATAATTGCATTAGTTATAAAAACTGTGTCGCAACTATTATCGCCCACCTCTGAGAGTACATTCGAGTTCCTTACATATAACAAAGTAACAATAAATATTATGAATGATTTAAATTTAATTTAACATACTTAAATTAACAAATTATTTAAATGCATTTTATGCGTGTGCGCATGGGTATGTGTGTGTGTGTATGTGTGTGTGTGTGTGTGTGAGAGTGGGAGTGTGATTGTGGGTGTGCAGCTTAATGGAATATGCTGAGGTTATCCTCCGTTACTATCTATTCAGAAAGTCTTCTATCTGCTCATATGTAAGCGTATATAGCCAATTGTCAACCAAAGCTTTACATTCTCTTGAAGAAAGCCTGTAAATGTCAAGAACTCTATTTACCTTGTTATACAATTTTGGGCTCAGGAATCTATACTGTCGACTCACCACACCAAGGCTGCAGGTCTCTAACTTGCACACTCTATCAGACCGACGTACTTGTTTTGTCAGGTTAGGGTCATACACCAGGGTAGCATGTTTACGCAGCACAGTATTTAACACAAAAGAGTGTCTAACCCTTGGTAAATTACAAATAGCGTACAAAGTATTTGTCGGGAAATAAAGGGGCTTACGGGACATAACTTTTAGTACAGCTCTTTGAGCTCTTTCCAATCGAAGAAAGAAACTCTTACCAGCATTGCCCCAAGCGGTAATGCAGTATGTTAAAATAGAGTGTACTAAGGCAAAATAGACAACCTTTAGTATACTGAAATCGGCGGAAGCTCGTAAATTTCTGAACACAAAAATTAGTTTTCTAACCCTTGAGACGAGGGAATCGACCTGATTGTTCCAAGACAAAGTGCTATCTATTAACACGCCAAGTTATTTTATATTATGTGTTCTAGTAATATTAGGACAGTCACAGACATAGTCCATTGTCCTGTTACATCTGTGTGCAATCAATTCAAAGGAGGAATCCGGCTGGGATGCAACTCTGGGAGCAAAAGTAATATATTTAGTTTTCTGGGTGTTAAGGGTAAGCAAATTTGAATTTAGCCACTTCAGAACTATGTTCAGAGCAGCTTCCGCGCATGTACGCGCTTCCATCCAGCTGGTACCATGAGCTATAATAGCAGTATCGTCTGCATAGGTGATAATTTTGGAGTTGTTTAATGACATCATACATAGGTCGTTAATGTACACCAAAAACAGGGTCGGCCCGAGGACACTACCCTGTGGAACGCCGTAAGTGAGTGATACCTCTTTACTAATAAAGTTGTCAATCTTGACAACTTGGGAACGTTCGCTTAGGTAGCTGATAAAAATATCAAGTGCCAGACCCCTGACCCCTACTCTTTCTAACTTATTTAGCAGGATTGGAACAGAAACGGTGTCAAATGCTTTTGACATGTCGAGAAAGATGGCTACAGTTTTTAATTTCTTATTCAAATTTAACGCCACGTGGTTAGTCAACTCGAGCACCGCATCTTCAGTGCTTCTACCAGACCTAAAACCAAATTGATTTGCAGCCAAGATGTTGTGTGCATTAAGAAAAGTGACGAGTCTCTTATTTATAATTTTTTCCAGCAATTTGGACAAAATAGTAAGTACGGATATAGGCCTAAAATTATTTACAGTGATATCCCCTCCCTTGTGTATCGGATGTATGAGTGCTTTTTTGAAGACAGTAGGAAATTTACCGGATAAGAGGCAGAGATTAAAAACATGACAAATAATAGGCACCAAAATGTGTCGAGCGGCTCTGATAAGTCCAGGTGAAATACCGTCCCAACCAATGGCGCTATCCAGCTTAAGCTCGAGTATCAGCCGGTCAATCTCCTGATTATCCGTAGTAAAAACAGCCATAGAATCGTATGCTGGATTTAATAAAGAATGTTGAAAGGTATTTTCATTACGACTTGCCTCAATTTTTGATGCCAGATCTTTACCAACATTAGCAAAAAATGTATTTACTATGTCTACAGAGCGTGATGGATTTTCATTGATAAGTAAAAGTTTAGGAGCATTTGAAGATTTAACATTTAAATTTGTGATTTTTTTAATAAGTTTCCAGGGAGCTTTTGGATTTTTACTGTGCTTATTAAATTCGGTTCTTTCATACTCCCGTTTAATCTTTTTAAGTAAATTGTTGCAAAAATTTCTGTAGCGTTTGTAAGTGATGAGATGAAGTTCGTTATATGGGTTCTTTTTAGCTTTTTGATAAAGTTTATCCCGATTTCTTATACAACGTAGTAGCCCTGAGGTTATCCAGGGCTTGAAAATCCTATTACTACTTGTAGCTTTTGAAGTATAAGTATTTTTTTCTATGACATCAGATAATATATTGACTAATGAATTAGCTGCTTCCGTGGCATCATTAGAGTCAAGTACTGGTGAAAAATCTGATTTTTCAATAGTCACTACACAAGCCGAGATATCGGTGCGCGAGACAACCTTTGGATCCCTCGAAGCTTCAAACTTGACATTACAAAAAATTAACATTGGAGCATGGTCAGTGATAAATGAATCCAGTACAAGGGTAATGGCTGGCTTATTTGATTTGATGATTGCATGATCCAAACAGTTATTACCGCGCGTTGGCAGAAGATGACCCGGTAGCATGGCATGAGTTGCAAGTGTATCAAGATATGTATCACAGCTAGGATCCACACTATTAAATGAAATATCTATATTTAAATCTCCAGTAATGACAATAGATTGAAATTCTTTTAGAGAATTTAGGGTAAGATCGAGGCTGTTAATGAATCTATCTCTATTTCGAAACGAAGGAGGACGGTAGATTGCTAAAAGCGCAAGCTCATTATGAAATTTGAGAAGAATACAGTTGGCATCAGTAACATCCGGGATTTCCACTGTAAACCTTAAATTTTGCCTAACATATACCACAACTCCATCATTTTGGTTGGTAGACTCCGACTTGAAAAAATCGAAATCAGGAATGTTTGGGATAAAGGGACATTTGCTTAGCCAGCATTCAGACAACACAATAACGTCTGTTTGAACTTTGACTCGACCTAATAATATAAGAAGATTATTGAAATTAATAGGACTGCCGATACTTCTAATATTCATATGAAAGATTTTAAATGCTTCAGTTGTATTGTGTAAGTATGAAGCACATTGTTCAGGAAGACAAAAGAATGATTTAGAGACACAAAATTCATCAATATCGTCAACAAGGATTGAATTATTATTCATATTGAAAATTATTAATAGTCATTTGGTCCAAATAAAGGGATCGGAAAATATTGAATAATGGATTATTAAATTGTAAAACAAGGTAACAGATAATAACAGTAGGTTTTTTTACGATCTTTTTTTCTAAACTGTGCGTGTATTTGTGTGATGATAAATTCGTGTTAATATGTGTGTGTGAAAATGAACTTAGTAAAAAGTATAAAGAATGAGTAAAAATGTGCAGTATAAAGTGTGTGTATAAATTTTGTGTGTTTAACATTTCGCAATAATTATTAATTATTATTCTTTTATTGAAGAAAATTACAAAATTAAGATAAAGAGGTAACAACGACATGCCGAAAGAACTTAACCTTTTTAAAGAGCCTAGTCATTCATTCTCTTTAATTTTGTCCAGGTCCAACTCTGAGACAACACGAAAGTGAGAAGTGCCTTCTCTTTTACGAAGATATATATTTCCATTCGTTGACCAGCAGTAACTATAGTCATTGGCCTTTGCAAACTCTCGTGCCAGATAAAACAAACGTTTTTGTTTTGGAGTCAGAGAGTCACCAATATATACCTTTTTTGGAGAACCACTTATTTGTAGGTGCTCTGTGTTAAAGTTATCAGCTCCCCTCACCTTATTAAACTTTTTGATGGAATCAATCAGGTTGTCCTTGAGCGCGACCGTAGTTAGCTCTAAGATAATAGGTTTGTTATCGTCTGATTTAGTATTTATTCGATATATATCTTTTATATCTCTGAGCTCGATCGTAACATTTAATTTTTGACCAATTTTCTCAACCAATGACGATAACGACTTTTTTGTCTCACTTGGCATTTTGGGAATATTTCTAATCTCGACATAGGTCGACCGAGATTTTTTCTCAAGGAAATCTAATCGCTCTTCAAGCGCGGTTATGTAATTTTGGCTCTCCTTCTTATCATCTTCCAGTTTACTTATTTTTAGTGATAAGTCATCATACTTCTGGGATATAAAGTCGATAGATTTAAATATTTCTTCATTTTGCTTTTTAATTTCTGTAATGGATTTCTGTAGGTCTAAAAGCTTATTATCCTGATTGGTTGTAAAGTTTGAAAAATGCATCCTCATTTCAGCCATAAATGCACGCATATCGCTGTGATCAGAACCATCGAACTTACGCTTACCGCGTTGTGCACTAAGGTCATCAGTGCTCGGTACCGATTGTGAATATTGAGACGGTGAATTATCTGTGGTAGCGGAAGTCATTTGTGGCGGACAAGTCTTAATATTGACAGTCTTCGAAGTCTCGCTTAAAGTTGGAGTCGAAACCTTTTTTTGATTTTTGCCAGGTGATTTTGGAGGTGTGCGTTTTAGAGGCATTTTTATTAAAGTACTAGGATAGCAGTCTTCTTAAAAGGCCAAAAGGCACCACCGGGCTGATTCGTAAGTCACCAAAACAATCGAATACAAGGGTATAATAACAATAGCGTAGTGTAAAAATCTGATATCCGCCGCAAAATAAAATGAAAAAATTGTGAGGAGTACCAGGGCAACATAAAGCGCACAGTTGTAATCTTACTATTATCTTTGATGCCCGCAGATTAATGCAGGGGTCAGCTACTTTGGTTGTCGATCGATGCTACCATACAAAAAATGATTCCGTCCAGATAAGGTGGACCCCTCTTGCCTCTCAACGGCACTGTGCAATTAGATTTATCTCTTTCTTGTCAGGGAATAAACTGTATCATGCTTCTTTATTGCGCAACGACTGCGTATGAATAAATACTTTGTTTCAACTCACGCGCTATTGTTGTACTGGTGTGCTGGTTTTTTCCAGTGTGCAGGCAGATAGACGATGCGTGAGTAACTTCAAGCGTTCCTGCACTCCTAATTTTGCTAGTTAATTTATTTTATTGAGTATTTAAAAATAAATAAAATTTTAACAATGTGCAACTGCATAAGCGTCTGAACTCCTCAGAGGTCCGGAGGAAGGGGAAAGGAGAAAGCTGGTGTAGACAAACTTGTGTTTGAAATTGAGACGTAACTAGAACAACTCCCAAATTGGAGCCGAGAAAACTTTGTTTCGTTTAATAACAAGTTTACCTTATTTCCAGGACATCCTTCTCAACATTTCTGGTCGCTTGATGGGTTCTTGCAATCTGTCGTTGTTAATACTATAGACCAAAAATGGAAATCTTGCTGCTGTTTTATTTATTTTTGTTACATTGTCTCTGTTAAAGTAAAGGACTTGGCGATTCTGAACTGAACTAATTAACGAAAAAACCTGGAATAATCTATAGAGCGAGAAAGTGCGACGAGCCAAGCCGCATATGGAGTACTGTTCTCATTTCTGAGCTGGGGCTCCTCAAAACCAGCTTCTTCCTATTGACCGGATTCAAAGGCAGTTCGACTTATCGATGATCCTGAGCACACTGACGCATTTCAACCTTTATAATCCTGCGCAGAGACGTTGCGCCCTCTTACCGTCTATTCAATGAACAGCGTTTCGAGGAATTAAACAATCTGGTGCCAGTGGTCAAGTTCTTTCACCGTAGCATACGCTACAGCGTGAAGTTTCACACCCACCAATTGTGTACGCGTGTGTATGTACGCTTTCTGTTTTAGCACTATTCAAAACGCGCGTTCCTTTTTGTTGCATTCTAGAAATATTTGGAACGAACTCTTCCCTGAACGGTCAAGGACATATATGGGCGGCAGTGACCACTTACTCAGGTGCACCGTCAGCTCGTTTGCCTGCTTAATTAGAACAAGTAATATTAGGCGGCATTATCACGGCCTTTTATGATTACTACAGGAGAACAGAGGAAAATGCTATAATAAAACGTACAAAAATACACCACCCTAATTACAGCAAATAGTGATGAAGCCAAATTCGGTAATCGCGTCTTTGAATTCTCAACAGCCTTAATTGTAAACAAATTGGGGCTTAATCGCTTCAATGGTCACTAAGCTAAATGACAATCACTCGGAAAGCTTTATGGTTGACGCACACATAAGAATCCGGAAACAGAACATTATTACCCACGACACAACTACCCAGCATCATCCTAACAGCACACACGAAAGTGACTGTGGTAAAAGTAAACTACATCTTAAAGAAAGTCAAAGTGAAATTACGCTACCTTTTGGTGGTATTGTGTTTCTGCTAATAAGTAAGGTTCCAGGGTTTTAAAGGATAGGGAAAAGGGACAGGGTAGGCGACGCGCAAATGATACTCGTACCAAGATACCTATAGATACTTACGACACCAGAGTATATCAATACTATAGTGGCCGCTTATACGGTGCCAGATACACGTTTAGTACTTTTTTTTACATACGATTTTTTGTTTATCAATATAACATGGAATCTTACGTTATTCGAGTAATTAAAGTGTAAATTTTAATAAATAGATCAAAATTATACATAATGATTAAAAAAAAATTGATTTCGAGTTTTATTCATTATTTGCAGTTTCTGAGAACATTTACCATAGTAGTGTATATTTTTTTTCATACCATCAGAAAGTAGAGATTTCAACAAACAAAAAACACACCAATTTTTATTAAAAAAGCAGATATTTTGACGTGAGAATTTTCGATTGAAAATTAGGGTGCTTTTTCGATATTAAGTCAAAATAAGGTGATTAAGGTGAAAAAATGAATATTTTAAATAAAAAAAATACTGTATGTTTGGGACATACAAAGGTAAGGTTTTCACTAAATTTCGAAAAAAATTTTTTTTTGCAAAATATAAAAATAAAATACCAAAAACTTGGTTATTCGAATTTTTCACATAAATTTTGAGGTTATGTGAAAAAAGTGTCGATACAAAAGTTGTAGAATTTTTTATTACCTACAACTTTGCCTTTAACGTTTTTTCATAGGACTGGCAGTTTTACCGGAAATCGAGATTAACCGTTTTTTATCCTTAAAAACTCACCCCCTCCCCCTTCCTGACCTCAGATCGCCCGTAATTTATTTTTCCTTTCATTTTTGTTATATTCTCTACCTTTTCCAATGGGTTTCACCCTACTATAATTATTTTTGGTCTCAAAAATTGTCGACCCTGGTCTATTCTGCCGGTACTCCCGGAGAGCAACACAACGTTTTTTTTGTTTTGAATTAATTACTGCGTATAGGTGCAATGTGTGCTTTGACCTTTAGCGAACATTTGGTTGTTAAACCCTCTTGAGATGCGGCGGTTGCGTTTGAGAGCTATCGAACGTCAATCATAATGACCTGTTCGTTAACAATCATTCGCCTGTGCTTGCAAGAATTTCATTATGACTCATCACATTTGGTCGGTAGATCAATTTGTCAGGGTGCTTGACTTCGAGTAATGTCTTTCGTGCACCCGAATCCGGGCTAGCGACCAAGTGTAATCGAGCCTCTTATTTATTTATTTCACTGTCATGGGTTCCCTGTAAGAGATTGCTATTTAGCAATAAGGCCGCCTATTGTGTACGTTTTCACTGTCATGTTTAATGTTTTGTATGTCCTGTGAGGTGTATGTCAATAAAGATTATTATTATTATTATTAAAATAAAAAAAAACTATACCTCCACCAAATCGCTTCAGCAGTAACGGCCACACAGAGAAGTAAATTAGATTTAATTCTTCAATAACTTGCTGTCCTATTTCTTTTATCATTCATTCCAAAGGAAGACACAGCACCCATATTCAAATGATTTTATTAGTTTTACAGTTCCTGTTACATACTTAACTCATTACAAGTAACTTTTCATCATCATCATCATCAGCCTATTAATGTCCCACTGCTGGGGTACAGGCCTTCCCTATGGATGGAATAGGAAGATTAGACCATGACCCATCACGCGGGCCCAGTGTTTATTGGCGGGTGCTAACGACTGCAGATGCAGCCGGGACCAACGGTTTAACGTGCCTTCCGAAGCACGGAGGAACTTGAGATAGAAGATTTTTGGCCACCCATCCAATGACGGACCACTGCGAAAGTTGCTTAAATTCAACGATCGCAGCCGAACGCGCAAACCACTTGCGCCATCGAGTTCCTCTGCAGCAACTTTTAGTATGCTTTAAAACAGTTTAAAAAATATATTTTTCCTCTTTTGAGTATTGCACTGTTTCAGACGTCATTAGCGTTGGCACCCAGATGCATATTCAGCGAATTTGTGTTCTGTCCACTACGAAATGCATATTTTCATATTTCAACACACGAGCAAAGTTCATTTATCAAAACACCAGAGGAACTCATACAGCTGAGTTCTGTTAACAAACTTCCTTTCATTAACGCTTCCAGAGCAAAGTTGGAAGCAGATATGTCCAGTTTATGAACACAATTTAAATATTTTTTCACATCGGCATGTAAATTTACGAAGCAGTGTTGGTATTTCATAATTAGATTGTTATAATATATTGTTTTAAACTTTCATGGTCACTAACATTATAGCTAATAACGGGATTGTTACCATGTACCTTGTTTTTTATGAGTCTCCGATATTTCGGCACTGTTGCAAGCGCCATGATCATGGAGTAACTGCCGAAATATCGGAGACTCATGAAAAATAAGGTACATGGTAACAATCCCGTTAATAGCTTTAATAGATTTGTATAGTTCTGTAGGAAGGCCAAAGGGGAAGATCTTCCTCCGAGCTGGGTGATGTTAGCTCGGGGGCCGCGGCCCGACTTATGTTGGTCGGGCATCGTATATATGAAGAGTTAGCCTCTGAATTTCATTTGCGCGATGTAGGCTTTCATACTAATATTGATCGCAGTGCAGGTAACGCCATCTCTTGAGGATGGTGAGTAATGATTTCCTACGTCTGTTGTATATCTGTGGGGCATATAGATGTCGCCGCCACAGTTCTCTTTAAATCTTCAATTTATGAAGAACAATCTACTGTCGTAATGGCGGGTGAACAAAGATGTGATTGAGATTTATGAGGTATTAAGGCCTCAATCCCATAGGCGCGTTTTTATCGGATGATAAAATCGGCTGCGTTATTGCGATAACGCGTCATACTTTTATTGCGTCGTTATTATTGTAGCAGGGTACAATTTCATAGCCGTTCTAAAACATAATGTACTAGAAGCAGACATCGCAATAACGCATCTGATATTGTCAACCGATAATAATGCGCCTAATGAAAAAATTGGAAGAACCATTCTCTAAAATCTTATTCGAAAAAATAAACAAATGCAAGGACATCGACGAAATCGGCCCAGCATGCAGAAAAAAATGTACTTCACTATTATTTTTCTATTATTGTTTTAATTTATTAGCAATTAATCACAGTAAATGGACAATATGTTTAAAAAAATAAAAAATAAAAGTTCTGTTACTAGATACTACAGCCTGTTCATCCAACTTGTCCTATTTGGTAAACAATCTTGGCCCTC